ATTTTGTATGGACTTAAAAGAGAAACAGAAACCAACCAGACCCTTTCCTTAGCCTTTCTCTAGAATAAGTCATCATTGGGCTGCCAGATTTATCAATGTCTAGTCTTATGATTTCCATATCCTGTGATTATGTTTCTATCCAGGCTATGTCATGTGCAGGTTTATATCTATGTTTCCAATCTTGGTCTGACTGTACTGAGAATCATTGTAATGTATCACACATTGTACCTGTTTTACCCTCAGTTGAGCACTTGAGAGAAGCAGGCAGCTTTTCCTTCATCCAGGGAGCCTGAGAACCAAGAAGGTGACCAAGAGTGTCTGCTGTTTGCATTTCAAATCAGGGTCTTGGCACTTGGCTCGAATTCTGCTGCAACCAATATGAGAAGTGATCATTGGTGACCAAAACTGTGCTGAAGCCACAGATGAAAGTGACTGTCCCTCTTGAGCAAGTGGTCAGTGAGAACTCCTGAGTCCTGCAACCTAAGAAGTGGACCCTAAAACTCAAACAAATGTATCTAGAATTAGAAAAGAAAACAGAATTCCCCATACAATGCCTGGAATCCACATTCTCTTTCATCCTTAACAATGAGTTTGGAGGAAAAGAAGACATATTGTGATATGCATTTTGTAAAGATCCCCAGGCTCTAAAATTTAGTCCAAACTTCCTTATGGTCCATGATTTCTTACAGACTGCCTGCTGAAGGGGGTGTGTTTGGTATATTATATAAATATGAGCCCTTTACCATCAACTTTTAAAACATGGCCCATTGTCTTCAGAAAACTTAGATTTTCAGAGGTAGACCCAGAGTGGCTGTGTGCTGTGGATATTCCCCATGGGAGGAAGCAGCTGCTCTAGCATGGTGCATAGTCCACTGAGCAACTGTTCATGATCCAGTAAAGCTAAACCACTTGAGTTTCCACCAGTTTTCTACAAATATCCACGGTGCCACTTGGAGGCCTATTGGTCTAAATAAATTGTTTTTATGACATTGCCACTGTTTCTAAGACTGTCTTTCATTAATGACTAGAGTTTTTCCTGAGCATTCCTGTTTATATCTATTTTTTTTTTGTTGTTTTTTAATAAAATCATTCCCAATTATGTGCAATTCAGTTTTAAACTTGCATGTTCTTAACCTTATTGGAATTTTCTTATCATAACATACTTGCATTTATTTTATATAATGCTTCATTGATTTATTACAATTGTATGTTAATAGTGGGATTAACTGTACACATAATCCTATATACAGGAAACATTATTTTATCAATGAATTCCCCAATATTCTCTCTTTCCCTCTCTTACACCCTTTCCTAAACCTCTTTCTCTCTGGGTCTTATTTCTGTTTTTCTTTACTTGCTACATTGAAATTATTAATAAAATTGAGATTCACTGTCATATATTGGTATTTGCACATAGCATCATTTGTTTGGTGTTCTGCCACAGTGCCTGCCCATCTCCTGATTTTCTCCCTCTCCTGAATATTCTTTCTCCCTTCAAGGATTCAGTTCTTTCTGTTATAAGAGGAAGTTATCAAGATAAAAGATCAATAAAAATGGAACTTCATTCATGAATGTTTTTATTTTTAGTTTTTAAAATTTATTCTAGTTTGTAATATATGACAGCAGAATGCATTTAATTCACATCATACATATATAGCAGAATTTTTCATATCTCTGGTTATACACAATGAAGAGAGACCCAATTTATGTCTTCATACATGTACTTAGAGTAATGATACTCACCTCATTTCATGAATGTTTTGAGTGAGTAAAGGAATTGTGTTCATGACCAACTTGATAATAAGTTTGCTCATTTTGAACTTCTCATTTGCTGTAGAGAAAGCTTAAGTTGCAAATTATTTTAGTAACAATATACAGGGTAAAGAAGAAAAATAAGAGGAAATGCTCCAAGTTAGAAGGTTACATTTTCTTTTCTTTCCATTTTCACTTTTTAAAGTCATTCTGTGGATATAAAATCCAGTATGTAGATGGTCAACCAGGTCTACATGACCACACTAATCAAAATAGAAGGGCTTTACTGTTTTTTGTTTGTTAGTTTGTTTGTTTATTTATTTATTTATTTATTGGTTTCTGGCATTGAACCTAGAAGGTCTTAATCACTGAGCCACATTCCCAGTTCCCTACTTTTTCAGAAAGAGGTCTTCTTAAATTGTTTAGGACCTTGATGAGTTGCTGAGATTGGTTTCAAAATTGTGATTCTTTTGCCTCAGCCTCCAAAGCTGCTGAGATTACAGGTGTATGCCACCACTCCCAGCTTTTAAGGTTTTGCTGATTGACAATAATGTATGCATGATAACACTCATTGTTTATAAAAGAGTTATCAATGTCAGTAAAACTCCCAGGATAGAATAAGATTAAAAGAACTCCCTCCTCAGAGTTGCACTGGCTGCCTTATCACATGAACTTCAAGAAAACAAGACCACAGCATCCTAAATGTTCAGGTCCTGAAGCTACGAGTGAGCAGAAATTTCTGTTTATATGAAGATATTTTCCTAGAAACATCCTGCTATGAATGACTCTGAGGACAGGGGACAAGAGGATCCTCACTCAAGGAAGTGCCAGTAGGTTCTGCTGGATCTATAGTAGTGGTAGCAGAAAAAGCAAAAGACTAGACTTTAACAAAGCTGCTGGGTGTTTGCCCTCCTGACAGATGGTAAAGGGTTTTTTGTCTTACTTCCCCATGAGCCTGGAGCACTGTGAGAGCATTAAGGCTGTAATCATAAGACTGACAATAATAGACAGCCTCATCCTCAGGCTGGAGCCCAGTGATGGTCAGTGAACCAGAGTTGCCAGACTTGGAGCCAGAGAAACGATCAGGGACTCCTGAGGGTCGATTACTATCACCATAGATGAGAAGTTTGGGGGCAGTCTCTGGGAACTGCTGGTACCAATGCACATTATCACTACCAATATTGCTGCTGCTTCCAGTGCAGGAGATGGTGACCTTCTGTCCTGGAGTCCCAGAGAGTGAGGGCGGCTGAGTCAGCACAGACTGGGCCCAAGACCCTGAAAGTGGGAGAGACACAGAGAAGGTGATATTTGTCTAGAAATAAGAGTAGAATCAGGGTCCATACCAGAGGACTCCCAGACACTATCCCTCCTCCGTATCATGTCACCTGTGCACTGAACAAGGAATATGAGGGAGAGACAGGACCAGGCCATGGTGAAGGTCATCTTGAGCTCTGACTTCTGTTTCTGAAGCTTAACAGGGGTTCCCCTAAGTCTCTCCCTGACCCTCTTTATACTCTGAGAAGGGGAGGATCTATCTATGCAAATTAGGTTCCTTCAGGTTACCTGATTACACCCTGGGTCCTTGTTCAACTCCTGTACATAAATATGCCAAGTGGCTCTGTGGGGGTGGAGTTGGCTCAGGGGTGTGGGTGGTCACAGCTGTGAGGCCTAACAAGAGAGCATCAGGCAGGGCCAGGTGGCTTATTTCAATTCTGGTTCCTTCCAGACCCTCTCTTGACTGGTCTGCAGTGCCACCTATTGTGCAAGCCCATATACATTATTATGTGACATTCTGATCAGATCCCTTGAGACAGTCCTACATTCCCTCTTCCTCTTCCTATGGGAAGCCAGTGAGCCCCTTCTGTGGCCTCCACATTATTTCAAGATAACCTTCTTGCTTTCCTCAGACTTCCCATGGTAAATTTGTACATAGTTCACTTGACTGCTCCCTGTACAGGACTAAGATGGTGTCTTTGATATAAATTTTTCACAGATCAGAATTAAGCAGGTGAACATAAACTTTCTGGTTTTATTACCTTATAAAGTATCCATTCTCTATTTTATCCACAACACAAAAGCTTTATTCCAAAGGTCCCTTTTCCTTGGACTTGGTAAAGAACTCAGTTGTAAAATCTTAAAGAGTAGCCATTTGATGCAATGTAGAAGATACTCTTATGCATATTTTCAAGCTTTCTCAGGTCACATATTTGGAACTCTTATTGTCAACAAGTAAGACTTAGGGTAGTGACTATGAGTCAGTCACAGACATATAGCACTTTAGCCATCATTGGCTAAATAAAATACCATAGGAAATGGAGACCCAGAAAGGACTCAGACTGCAGGAGTCATGAGTATTTTCAGATATGGATGAAAATGCACTCTCCTAGGCACTGGCAAGAATGGAGGTGATCTGGCCATGAATATCAGTCTTTTGTTCATATTTGTTCAATATGATTCAGTGTATTTCACAAGGGTCCCATGTTTCCACCTGAAGAATTAAATCATATTCTGAATTTTTAAAACTTTTTGTTTCCTTTTATTTTATTTCTTATATGTTCTTGTCAGTTATAAATGACAGTTGAATGTACTTTAACCTATTATACATATATAGAATATAACTTCCCATTCTTCTGGTTGTATATAATGTAAAATTACATTGGTTATATATTCATATGTGCACATAGGTACATAATGTCTGATTCATTCCACTATCTTTCCTATTCCCACTTCCCCTCTCTTCTCTTTCTTCCCTTTCCTTTAATAAGAGTACTTCTATTCATCCCCCATGTCTTTATTATAATTTAGCATCCACATATCAGAGAGAACATTCAGGCATTTGTAAAGGAATCAAAAGGAGATGGAAGCAAGGTGCAGATGCAAAATGACTGATCATCCAAGTTGCTGGCTTTATTTATATCAATAGGTTACATTGAAATAAATAATGATACATACTATCATTATTAAGTTGCTGGCATCAATAGTACTCATTGTTCATTGTATCATTAGGCAGGTTATAGTGTTAGCAACAATATGCAGATTAAACCTCAGATTTGGAATTGGAAAATTAGTAGCTTTGTGTAGTCTCAAGAAATTTCATTGTTTAAAGTTTCAGTTATGTGGACAAGTTCAGGCACAGCAGACCTTGGTGAAACATTGTGGTTGTCTAATAAGAGAGACTTTATTCCCAAGAGCTTTGTGCCTCAGATCAATGTCGAGGCTGATAGGACTCTAGCACAAAGCCTTCTCATGAAGTCCATTACCACAGCAACTAGGCATCCTGCAACTTTTGCACAGGATTTTTCCAGGCACCGAGCATGTCACAGCCATAAAGTCATCAGAGGGCCCAATCTTCAGACACTGTTCTGCCATTCTCTGTCATTGCTCTCAACAAACAGAGAAAACTTGCTGTCTTCTACATTTCCACACTCATAACCCTTACAGCCTTTTGTTCTGCCATATTTCATTTAGCATGATAATCTTCAGTTCCATTCACTGACAGATGCCATAATTTCATTGGTCTTTATGGCTGAATAATATTTCATTGTATATGCATATCACATTTTCTATAGGCATTTATTTGTAGAAAGGCACCTAAGCTGGTTCCGTGGTTTATCTCTTATGAGGTTAACTGCCATAAATATGTGGCTGCGTCACTATAGTATGCTAAATTTAAGATCTTTGGGTATAAACTGAGAAATGGAATAACTGGGAAAAATAGTGGTTCCGTTCCAAGTTTCCTGAGGAATCTCCACATACTGCTTTCTAGAGAGTTTTCACTAATTTACAGTCCCACAATAATGTATGAGTGTATGTTTGTTCCAACATCCACACCAACATATATTGTTGCTTGCATTCTTGATAATTGTCATTCTGACTGGACTGAGATGAAATCTCAGTGACATTTTAATTTGCATTCTCTAAGTGCTAAAGATAATAATTTTTTTTTCATAATTTTGACACTTCCACATCCCAAGCTAGGCAACAATTGCCATTCTAGGGTCTAGAAACTTCTATACTTAGGATCTTAACTTCCCTCATAGTAGGTTGGTACTTTTTAACTCTAGTACAATTTGTATTTAAATTTAGACAAAATTAAAAATCAAGCAATTATATTTATTTCTGTGATAAGATAAATTGTTTACACTGTGGAATCTAATATTTTTGTATTCATTAAATTATACTATAGAGACTGCAAAATATAACTTACATTTTCTGATTAATAAATTATTTTAAAATAAATTACAAATGGGATATGTGCATTATCAAGTAATTCAAACTTATATAAGTTCAATATGTTAAATTTTAATCATTATTTCTTTTTTTTTCCTTCATTTCTTTCTTTCTCTACCTGTGAGAAATAGGTAATGTAGCTTCCCTTTTGCTTTTATGTCTTTTTAATGAAATATTATACCTCTATCTTCACATGGTTCTCTAAACTGCTGTAAATTTCCTGCAGATTTTAATTTCCCCAAAGGCCAAGTTCCACTTGCCCTTCAATTTAGAAGAGCAAGACATTCCATTGCAGATCAGGAAGTTTATTTGTCCTCTTCTTCATGAGTGTATCCAAGACACCTGCACATACACAATTTTATTTTGATTATCCTTTCTCTAATTTTATCTCCAAGTATGAAACCAGAATATTTGAAGTCTTTATAACAAGCAACATGAAACAAATTATGTAAGTTTTCCAAGTGTCAGAAAGAAAATTGCAGATAGAAAATAAACACATGATGGTGGGACTGTAAATTGTTGCAACCACTCTGCAAAGTAGTTGGAGATTTCTCTGAAAACTTGGACAGCAACTATCATTTGACCAGGCTATCCCACTCCTTGGTTTATAGCCCAAGAATTTAAAATTAGTACACTACAATGATGCAGCCACATCAATGTTTATAGCAGCTCAATTCACAATAGCTAAACCATGGAACCAAACTAGATGTCCTTCAACAGATAAATGTATAAAGGAAATGTAATGTACATACACAATGGAATATTACTCAGCCATAAAGGTAAATGAAATTATGGCATTTGTGGGTAAATGGATGGAACTTGAGACTATCATGCAAATGGACATAAGCCAAATTTAATGTTCCAAAAGTCAAATGCCAAATGGTCTTTCTGATATGTGAGTGCTAACCCATAGCAAGGAAGAGTAAGGAGGGTAAGTATAGAAGTACTTTGTATTAGGACAAAGGAGAATGAATAGAAGGAAGACGGATGACAATAGGAAAGACAGTAGAAGTATTCAGAGAGCATGTCCTGGCTTCTGCTGGTACCTGTAAAGACAGAATTGGAACTAAGCCCACAGGTAAGTGTCACCATCTCACCTGGAGACACAGAAAGTGAGGGCTCCTGGATCACAATGGTCTGAGAATCTGCCACTAAAAACAATAAGAGAGACAGTTATTGTTATTATAACAAAGGTCCCCTGAGACACTGCTTTTATGTATTCTCAGTATGCAATGCCCCTCCCCTGACTTGAACCATATGAGAGGAGCACTAGTAGAACCATCATCTTAGCCATGTTGGGGATCCTCACAAGCATTTGGTGTACTCATACTCCTCACTGTGAGTTTGGTGTCCTGAGGAAATTTTCATGCCTCTTCAGACCCAGAGGAAAGTATTTTTATGCAAATTGAATTTCCTTTCCATTCCTGTCCCAGTGTTCACCCTGAATTTCCCTGGAGGACAACATGAAAGAGGCAGATGCTGGGAACTCACATAGA